GGGAGGGCGGGTGGGAACGCGGTTCGAAGACGCGTCTGCTGTGGTTCCCGAACTCTTGGTATCTTCCGAGTGGTTTTCACCTTCAAGAAATGAATTTAAATAATTTTTTGAAAAAACGAACTTTTTTATCAGTAACCTTTTATCGTACACTTCTTTCCATCGGATCTTCCCAAATGTAAAACCCCCATTACCACCGGTCCCGTAATAAGTCAGAACTGCCCTGCGTTTAGATACTATAATGTGCTTATAGCAACTCCGTTAGTGCATCCTTCCACCGATCAATTCTTTTTGGGTCCCCTTAGCAAGTTGTCATCTGTACAGGTGAACTTCCTCTTAGGATTCGCGGGGGAGGGGATGAATGGGATTACAGTCGCCCCAACGTGTCAGTTCCACAAAACCGTGGAATGCGATGCTCATCCAATTATAGTGATGTTTACAACTACCTACTTATATTATAAAAGTATGCGTGTTTAACCTCTGTTCGACTTCTTTCGATCGCTTGTTTAGCGCATTCTTTTTGTGATTACCTCTTCCTCTTTATTGGGTCTCCTTAGGAAGCAGAATATTTTTATTGTGCGTCCTGACTACGCTGCAGCTCCGAGCACACAGTTTCCTGGGATTGATTCGCCGATACTGATTGATCACTCTGGTCTCTTTATGCAGCGCCAAGGCCTGTCAGGGGACTTTGCCGTATGCATGAACCCTTGTCGGATCCAGAAGCGGTGCCCGGTGAGTCACGTGCAGTCCTTTACTCTTACATTCTTGGAGGACCTAACCTTTGGCAGCGCTTATCCTTTTTTTACCCCGCTTCCCTTTTGGTAGGAGCATACGGGGGACTTTGAAGTCGACTACAGCGAGTTTACTGACCAAATTCAGCCACGCCTGGCACGCCGTATTCCTGCTATGGCAACTGCCAAGATTAGCTCCGCTTGGGCCTACCTCAGCGACTACAATCCCCGGGATCAGAGTCTCATAGTCGGACCGCATCCCTTCCTCAACAACATGATGCTAGCAAATGGATCCGGAGGTCTTTGTACGCAACACTCAATTGCGATAGGCCGTGCTGTAGCAGAGTACATCCACTACCGGCATTACAAGTCAATCGACTTGACACGTTTTTCCTTTGACCGTTTTTTCCTCGATCTGCCCATATCCGAACGGAACACATTTTAATGAGCGCCTGCTGAGTATTTGAGTGGTCAGTGTGTTTGTATCTACCTCCTCCCCGCCGCTAGCAGTAGAAGACGCAGCGAGTGCTGCGCATCTGTACAATAATACATTTTTTAGCTGAGTCAACTAATAAATTTCTTCATGAATTGAAGCGAAGCTCCCGTTCCAGGTGTTTATATAAGTGAAGGAGACTCTTTTTTCGCCTTCTTTTCTCACGTGGAACCGGGCCTGAAGATCGCATTGGCTGAAGTTTTTGTAACGGACGCACCTGGTTCCTCCTTATCCACTGTGACTGCTCCGTCCTCT